TACGTGGGAGTCCAGCGACATAGCCATTATGCTAACTGCTGGTTCCCTATTAACTTTCTTGAAGACCTCGTGTATAATAAAAAAAAAAGCAAGAATCGCTAATTGGTGGGGTCAGCAGGTGATGTGAAGGTTAAGATGGCTGGATCCCACATAGTCAGTTCTATGGTTCGAGTCTGTGACCTGGCAGCTTGAAAATCATGCCAGGCACGTGTGTGTGTGCCCAAAATCTTAAAGGGAGAATGGAGAAGGGATTGTGGGTGGCCAGTCCCCTCCAGTGTGTGATTTCTTACTTTCCGTATCTCCGTCTCTCTGGTAAGCACACACGCCCTATAGCAAGAACTACAAAAAAATAACCCCAGCAAACTGGTAGTTAGTGAGCACAGGCACCTTTATACCTGTGAGGAAGGTCTGCTCTTGTCATCCTCACTTCACAGGCGATGAATGAAAAGCTAGTTGAGTATGGGACTAGCAGGTGGTATGGCAGTCAAGGTACAGGACTCCCATATGGTTAGACCATGGTTCAAGTCCCAGACCTGGCAGCTTGCCTTCCGTCTCATTTTCCCTCTATCTCTTATCTGTCTCTCTTTGGTGAGTGCACAGACCCTATAGCAAAATTTAAAAAATAATAATAACAAATAAAAAATGTTAGTTGAGTCATTTTTCAAGGGTCTCACATATTTTGAAGTCTTTTTTTAAGAGAGAGATTTTTGCTATAGGGCATGTGCACTCACTGGAGAGACAGCAAGAAATCACTCCCCCCTCCCCCAGGAGGGATTGCCATACCGCAGTCCCTTCTACTCCATTCTCTTGAGATTTGGGGCACACACGCACACGAGCCCAGCATGAGTTTTAAGCGGCCAGGTCCAGGACTTGAGCTGTGGTCGACTATGTGGGAGTCCAGCGATGTCACCATTCCACCATCCGCTGATCCCTGACGTCTTTTGTTACTGGCACCAAAGCTTGGACTCTTAACTCCTATTACCGGGTGACTTCAATCCTTTAGGCATTCCAGAAGGATCGAAGACCCGAGTACCCAAGGGTGAGGATTCCCAGGCCTAACCCTTCCTTTCTCCTGACTGGCAGGACAAGCCCTCCGTGATATCCCTGCAGAATCTCATTGTCCGGGACATCGCCAACCAGGAGAAAGGGATGTTCCTGATCAGCGCGGCCCCGCCCGAGATGTACGAGGTGCACACAGCCTCCCGGGATGACCGGAGCACCTGGATCCGCGTCATTCAGCAGAGCGTGCGCGTGTGAGTGTGTGCCTGCTGCCCGCGTGTGCCTGTGGCCTCGGGGAGCTGCGTCAGGTCTCAGGCCCGGGGACCAGAACGGGTGTTTGGAGGTAGGGGCAGAGGCTGGGGGAGAAACAGGATGGCCTGGACAGGAAAGATCACCTTGGTCCTTAGTATTCTACAAAGTCTTACTTCATGCTCACAACCCTGACTGGTTTCTCTTTTTAAAAAGAATTGCTTTATTTAGTTTTATTTATTTTTTATTTATATTTTTAATTTGACTAGAGAGGGGGAGAGAGAGAAAGGGAAAATGAGAAAGCAAGCTGCCAGGTCTGGGACTCAAACCACAGTCGGCCATGTGAGAGTCCAGCCTCCTTAACCACCATGCCACCTGCCGACCCCATCCCTGACTACTTTTTAAATGCAGCGTGAGCTGACAGGCAAAGGAATCTGACTGTCACATGGACGTACCTGCCAGCCAGCAGTATTATTTCAGCTGCATTAAACATCCTGGTCTGTAGGCAAAAGGCTATTATCTGGATCGCATTGTCTGTTACCCTTGTTTTCTAAAAATGAATGCAAAAGGGTAATGCAAGCATCGGCATAGAGCCAAGAGGAGCAGTCTCACAGACAAACGCTGGAGAGAGTCGTGCTCGTTCGCGTGCCAAGGCTGCGGCTCTTCAGTTTCTGTTGGGCACACAGAAACTGACAGTTGAAGATGGTCAGCTGTGTCTCACTACACTGGGGGGAACGCCAAATAACGCCCAGCTACTGTTGAAAATGGATTCCTGAAGATTACGCCTAAAGAATCAACTCTAGGTCTAGCCCTGTTGGCCTAGTGGTTAAGGGAGACGGCTCCCCCATGGCCAACCATAGTTTGAATCCTAGCCACAGTTGTTGAAAAACACACTGGGTGTGCGTGTCCAAAATCCTGGCAGGGAGGCCAGCAGGTGGTGTGGTGGTTAAAGGCTCTGGATTCCCACATGGCCAGTCACGGTTCGAGTCCCAGACCGGGTCGCTTGCTTTCTCGCTTTTCCTTTCTCTCTCTCTCTCTGGTCAAATTAAAAAATAATAATAACAAGTGGAATTAAATAAATAACTAACTTTTAAAGAAAATTCTGGTAGGATATAGAAATGGAGGAGGAGAGATTTTAGCATGACTCTGCCCCATTGGAGGGTGATTTCTCCCTCTTTCTCTCTGTCTGTCTCTCTAGTGCGAACATGCCCCTTCTGGCAAGAAAAAAAAAAGAACTCTTAATTAGGATTTTTATATAATTTACCATTATCAAAATGTTTTTTGGGCCGGCAGATGGCGTGATGGTTAAGGGTGCTGGATTCACACATGGCCGATAATGGTTCAAGTCCTGGACCTGGCGGTTTGTTTTCTCACTTTCTCTTTTTCTCTCTGTCAGATTAACAAGTAATAGTAAAAAGTGGAATTAAATAATTAACTAAATAAATATTTTAAAAGTTTGGAGTATTTTTTTTATTCATTCATTTATTTTAATTTGGCCAGAGAGAGGCACAGAGAGATAGAGAGAGAGAGAAGGGAAGTGAGAAAGCAAACCACCAGGTCTGGGACTTGAACAGTGGTCAACCACATGGGAGTGTCCAGCGCCTTAACCATCGTGCCACCTGCTGTTCCCAATAAATAATTTTTTTTAATGTTTTTTAATTGCCAGAGGGCACATGAGCTCACTGAAGACAGAGAGAAAGAAAGCACCTCCCCTCAGTCACCCAGGTGTGGCCATGCCACGATCCCTTCATTTCTCCAGCCTGTTGGGGTTTGGGGCATGCATGCACATGTGCCCAGAATGTGTTTTAAGTTGGGCCTGGGATTTGAACTTCAATCAGCCATAGGGGACCTGGCTCTTTTAACCACTAGGACACAGAGCCAGCCCCATCATTGTTATTTTTTGTTTTATTTTAATAATTATTTAATTTTTGAGGTCAGCAGGTGGCATAGTAGCTAAGGGTGTTGGACTCCCACACGGCCGACCACCGTTTGAGTCTCGGACATGGTCGCTTGCTTTCTTACTTTCCCTCTCTCTTTCACTCTGTCCCTTTGTGGTCAAATTAATGAATAAATAAAAAGTTAAATAAAATCTTTTTTTTTTTAAATTATTTAATTTTATTTCTTCTTCTTTACTTTGACCAGAGGGAGATTGAGAGTGAAAAAGCAAGCCGCCAGGTTTGGAACTCAAACTGCAGTTAGCGATGTAGGAGTCCAGCACCTTAACCACCATACCACCTACCGGCCCTGGTCATCACTTTTATTATCCTTATGACCAAGAGAGAAAACGTGGGAAGGAGGGAAAGACATTTCTAACAAGGTCTCACCACATCACGCTCCTCCCCAGTCAGCTAAGACCACAGCCTGCCATTGCACCCAGCCTGTTTAAGTGAGACTGGGAATCAAACTCGGGTCTCCCGGGTGGCCTCAGCCACTTCCTCTACTTTATGTTAAGTCATCTTTTTTTGTCCTTTAACTTGTGTAATTTAGACCTTTTTTAAAAAAAGAATTATTTTATTTAACTTTATTTATTTATTTTAATTTGACCAGAGAAGGACAGAGTGAAAAAGAAACGGAAAGTGAGAAAGCCAGCTGCCAGGCCTAGGACTTAAACTGCAGTGAGCCATGTGGGAGTCCGACACCATTAACCACTACGCCACCTGCCAGCCCCCTGTAATTTAGACATTTTTAAGATAAGTTGTCACTATGTTGCCCAGACCAGCCTTGAGCTTATGGTCCTTCTGCCTCAGCCTCCCTGAGTCTCTGGGATTACAAGTGCTCGCCACCATGCCTGGCCTTTAAATTGGATTAGGAATCAAACCCAGGCCTCCCTGGGGTCCCAGCCTACAGAGCTGAGCCTGCAAGTTAGACTTCTGAACATGTTTTTCAGAAATCCATATAAAAATATGAAATTGCTTATTCTAGGGAAACAGTTCAAAATACCTGTTCTGTTAATAGCTGACCCAGAGGCTCTTCATTATGGTATTAGCATTTGTATTGTAAAAATGATAGTAATTATTATGCATTCTAAGGATTTATTGAGTTTCTGTCATGTTCCAACATGGTTACATCTCATTGAATACTAGCAAAAACATGTATGAGGAAACAGCAACTACCTGGTGAACGCTGGAGTCAGTGCTTGACACCAAAGCCTGTTCTTGACTTTCTGCACTGAGCTGCCTTTTCAGGTGACCTTCAGAGAGGGAGCTACCAGTAAATGCAGAGGATTAGTGCTGAGGAAGGGGGAGCGGCAAGAACAAAGGAAGGGCCAGTTCTGTGGTGCAGTGATAATGTGCCACTCGAGAGAAGCTGAATCTGGGGCCAACAGGTAGCATGGTGAGGCTCCCACATGGCCGACTGCATTTTGAGTCCTGGATCTGGCCGCTTGCTTCCCCTCTCTCTCTCTCTTCCTCTCTCTATGGTGATCACATGTGCTCTATAGAAAATGTTAACAATAATCAAAAATACAATTAAATACAATGATTCTTTAAAACAAAACAAAAATAAAAGGGGGACGCTGGATTCCACATGGTGACCGTGGTTTGAATCCCCAGCCCTGTCAGTCTGAAACCTGCTGGGCACGTGCATAAGTGCCCAAGGTCCTATGAATGGCTGGAAGACTGGAAGAAGGGGCCAGACCATGGTGTGAGCAGACCCCGTGGAGGAAGCTCATCCCTCCCTCTCCTCATATCCATGTGCCCATGCTCTATCGTGAATAGAGGGGAAAAAAGGAGTGAATGGAGCCAGGTGTGAGGCTGAGGAGGGAAGCATGGGGCATGTTTGTGAAAGCGGGAAGGCGGATTCCCAGGCTATAACCTAGATTCTGTCTCCTCACCTGTGACCCCTCCAGATGCCCATCCAGGGAGGACTTCCCCCTGATCGAGACAGAGGATGAGGCTTACCTGCGACGAATTAAGAGTAAGTCCACCCACAGGGAGCTCATTAAATAACTTGTGATACATCGCATGGTAGAATATGATTGCTGTAGACCCGTATTAAAATGATGTCAGTATTGGTAAAAACAGCATGCACAGGGTCCAGCCAGTGGCGTGGTGGTTACGGTGACTGGATCCCACATGCCTGACTGTGTGGTTCAAGTCCCGGACTGAGTGACTTGAGAAACGTGCCAGGCGCATGTATGTGTATGCCTCAAATTCCAAAAGGTGCATGGAGAGAAAGGGATTTCAGAGTGGTGTTCCCCCCTGGGGGTACCTTCCCACTTTTTCGGTCTCTCTCTGTCCCTCCAGTGAGCACACGCACTCTAAAGCAAACTAAAAATGAATAGATAAATAAAGTGGAGAGATAATACATGCATGTGTATGTTGTGTATGTATGTGTGAAACCTCTCTAGAAAGGTAAGATTGTACTGCTACGAGGGGAACTTCAAAAAGTTTGCGGAAGGGGCCCGCAGATGGAGTGGTGAAGGTGCTGGACTCCCACATGGCTGACCATGGTTTGCCTCCCAGACCCAGAGATTTGAAAATCACACCTCATGCATGTGCATGCATGTCCAGAATCCTAAGAGGAGAATGGAGGAGAAGGGACTGCAACATGGCCACCTCCCCTGGGGGATGATTGCTCACTTTCCCTCTCTCTGTCTCTCTAGCGAGTGTACACTCCCAGTGACAAAAAAAAAAAAAAAAGAGAGCTAAAATATGAGTTTGTTTTGGTGCAAAAATATTTGAAATCCATTCATAGTGTTTCTATAATATGTATTTTTCCTATAATATGTATTTTTCCTTAACTTTCTTTTTTTTAAAGTTTTTGCCATAGCAGACGTGCATTCTCCAGAGAGGAGAGAGACAGAGGGACACAATAAGAGGGAAAGCGAGAAATCTCCCCTCAAGGGGGATGGCCACACTGTAATCCTTTCTCTTCTTTTCCTCCTGGGATTTTGGGTGCCCATGCACATGCACCCCAGTGTTATTTTCAAGATGCCAGGTGTGGGACTCAAACCATAGTTGCCCATGTGGGAGTCCGGCACCTTAACCACCATGCCACTTGTTGGCCTTATTTCCCTTAACTTTCGATGACCTCATGCCTCTGTCCAGCATGGCCATGCCAGCTCCCATTGTCGCATCTGCATCCCAGCTAGCAGGGAAGAATAAAGGAACAAGGAGAGTTTGTGCCCATTTCCTTCAAGGCCAGATCTGGAAGACGCTTACATTCACCGGCTAGAACTGCAAGTCAGGCGGGGAGACACAGGCCTTCACTGGGTCACCACACACCCTTATAGAGCTCGTGCTCATTCTGTTTACAGAAAGATGGGGAAAATGGGCACCGGCGGAAAACCTGCTGTAAATGTTTTTAATCTTTGTTTTTAAGGCAAAAGTACATTGGGGCCAGCAGGGAGTGTGGTGGTTAACCCACATAGCTGACCATGGTTCGAGTCCCAGACCTGGTGGCTTGCTTTCTCACTTTCACTCTCTCTCTCTCTCTCTGTGTCCCTCTCTTAATGGATGAATGAATGAGTAAAATAATCCTTTTTTTTTTTTTGCTATAGGGCACGCGTGCTCACCAGAGAGACAGAAAGGGAGAAATCACTCCCCCCAGGGGGGGGAATGGCCACGCTGCAATCCCTTCTCCTCCATTCTCCTCTCAGGATCTTTGACACGCATGCACACGCAACTGGCGCGAGTTTAAGCCACTGGGTCTGGGACTCGAACTGCGGTCGGCTACGTGAGAGTCCAGTGACATAGCCATTACGCTAACTGCTGGTCCCTAAATAATCCTTTTTTTAAGACAAAAGTATATGTATTACTTTTCTCTAAGAAAAGATTTTTTTCTTTTATCATAAATTCTCCAAAACAGAATAGAGACCAGCAGGTGGTGTAATGGTTACATCGCTAGACTCCCATGTAATCAACCATGTTTCGAGTCCCATACCTGGTGGCTTAAACTTCAGACAGGGCGTCTGTGCATGTGTGCCTAAACTCCTGAGAGGAGATGGGAGGAGAAAGGATTGCAGCATGACCATCCCTCTCGGGGGTGATTTCTTGCTTTCTGTAGCTCTTTCTCTCCAGAGAACATACAGGCCCTATAGCAAAACCTCTCTTAAAAAACATAAAAAGGTGGGGCCAGCAGGTGGCGTGGTAGTTAAAGGCGCTGGATTCCCACATGACTGACCACGCTTCGAGTCCTGGACCTGGTGGCTTGCTTTCTCCTTTTCTCTATCTCTCTCTGGTCAAATTAAAAAATAATAATAAATAGAGGGACCAGCAGTTAGCGTAATGGCTATGTCGCTGGACTCCCATGTAGTCGCCCGCGGTTCACGTCCCGGACCCAGTGGCTTAAAACTCACGCCGGTCACGTGTGCATGTGTGCCCAAGATTCTGAGAGGAGAATGGAGGAGAAGGGATTGCAGAGTGGCCATCCCCCTGGGGGGAGGTGATTTCTCGCTTTCTGTCTCTCTGTCTGTCTGGCGAGCGCATGCACCCTATAGCAAAAACTTCTAAAAGAATTTTTTAAAAGAATGACTTATCTCTATTTATTATTATTATTTTTAGAGGTTTTTGCTATAGGGTGCGTGCGCTTGCCAGACAGACAGAGAGAGACAGAAAGAAACCACGGTCGACTACGTGGGAGTCCAGCGACATAGCCATTACACTAACTGCTGGTCCCAAGTCATTAAAAAAATAATAAAATAAAAAGGCTTCATTCCGTCCTGCCACTGGCCCATACCCCCTAGAGCTGTCCCTTGCTGACTGCTCTGGGTGCCCCCGGACAGTCCCCTTGTGCTCACCTGCTGTTTGTTTGCAGTGGAGCTGCAACAGAAGGACCGGGCGCTGGTGGAGCTGCTGCAGGAGAAGGTCGGGCTGTTTGCGGAGATGACTCATTTCCAGGCAGAGGAAGATGGCGGCAGTGGGATGCCTCTGCCTACCCTGCCCAGGGGTCTTTTCCGCTCGGAGTCCCTCGAGTCCCCCCGTGGCGAGCGGCTGCTGCAAGATGCCATCCGTGAAGGTGAGGGAGTTCCCAAGAAGGAGTCCGGGCTCTTGCACTGACCAGCAGAGAATCTGGACACACCCAGACAAGGGGCATGGCAACCCATAGTCCATAAGGTGCATAACCCACGGTCCTGCCGTCCTGGGTAGGACAAGGGCAGAGGCACGTTCCTGGCTGCCGTCCGACCCCTCTCATGCTGCATGTGCTTGTGTTGTTGCTCTGTGGACACGTCAGAGACCTTTGCCTTGTCTGTGGTTGTGCAAGTCTAACCCCTGTGCCTGGATGCCTAAGTGTCCCGTGTGCGAATGGCACCCCTCCCTCTCCCTGTCTCCTCAGTGGAGGGCCTGAAAGACCTACTGGTGGGGCCTGGAGTGGAGCTGCTCTCGACGGCCCGAGAACCAGCTCTGCCCTTGGACCCGGACAGCAGCGGTAACACGAGTCCTGGGGTCACTGCTAGTGAGTGCCAGGGCGTGGGCCGAGTCGGGTAGGGTGAAGGGGTGGGGTGGAACTAGGGATTGGGTGCAGTGGTGGGGTCAGGGCCTGGGAATTCAGCCTGCCCTGCCCTCCTCCACAGACGGTGAGGTCAGAACCTTCAACGGTTCCATCGAGCTCTGCAGGGCTGATTCGGATGCCGGCCAGAAGGTAGGTCCTCGGGTGGTCCCAGGACTTTGTCGGAGGGAGGGATGGAGCAGGACTGTGCCTGCTCACTCCTGTCCTTGCCCATCTCTGCAGGATCGCAATGGGAATCAGCTGAGATCTCCCCAGGAGGTGAGCTGGGGATGTGATGGCAGGGAGGCTGCGGGAGGGTCTGCTCTGTCTGAGGAATGGCAGCCGGGTTCAGAGGAGGCAGGAGAGAACCTCTTCCGGTGCTGTTGTCCCACCCCACACCCACTCTGCTCCTGGGCATTCCTCCTGTCCTGGGCCGTGTTCATACGCTCTCCTCTGTCCTCAGGAGGCGTTACAGCGACTGGTCAGTCTCTACGGACTTCTCCACGGCCTGCAGGTCAGTGCAGCCAGGCTAGAATGGGGAAGGGAGGAGTCAGGCCAGAGATGCCCAGTAGGTAGGCCAGGGACATCCTCAGGGGCCTTTCTAAGCATTTTCCCAATCCATACCCTCCACTCCGCTGTTGGGGGCCCCGGGGTCAGGGTGAGGTTAGAAGAGGAGGGAGGTCTCTGACGCCGCCTTTTCTCCAGGCGGCTGTGGCCCAGCAGGACACTTTGATGGAAGCCCGGTTCCCTGAGGGTCCCGAGCGGCGGGAGAAGCTGTGCCCCGAGCCAACTCTCGGGATGGGGAGGCCGGCCGGGCCGCGGCCGCCCCTGTGGCTCCGGAGAAGCAGGCCACGGAACTGGCGTTACTGCAGCGGCAACACGCGCTGCTGCAGGAGGAGCTGCGGCGCTCCCGGCGGCCAGGGGAGGC